GCTTTCTCTATAACTACCTCTTCAACAAAGTCATCATGAATAAGGAAAGAATCATTACAGTGTGATTCTTCCTGAGCATTAGAAGCCGGTTCTTCTACGAAGACGTCATCTTCATCTTTGACAGGAATATCAAAGACGTCTTCCTCATTGACAAATTGGTCACATGAGCTTTTCTTTTCCTCCTCATGAATCATGGCCCACTCTTCATATGGTATGGCATACTTATTTGAACATTCCCAGTGGCCATGACCACAGCCACCACACATGAAACATCGCCGAGTAGCCCATTGCAATATTGCTCCATTTGCAAGGACAATTTCCAGATTTCTGAGGTGTCTTTTAGAGACCATATCTCACAAACCGGAGATTGGAATTAGGGAATTCCAACTCTCATAGCTAGATATTCACGTCCATAAAGACATATCAAAAATTTGGAGCCATTAAAGAACGTTTGCTACCTCTTTGGAGACAAATTCAGCAAGGTAGATAGAATTCGTCCAGGATTCTGTTATCAACTTCGGGAGGGCGTATCTCACTAACCACAACTCGGAATTGAGTGAAATCAGCAGCCACGCGTAGCAAAAACGTCAAACTTTCATACTGGAAATATTCACTTCCAAATGTGTTGTGTAGCTTCCTCCGTGCTCAATTCTTTGGAGCTGAAAGTTTCTGGAAAAATTTTCAGCAACCTTCTTTTGGGTACGTTTGTGAAGTCGGTCCACAAGGTGATCGTCGAGACTTAAGGAAGTCTTCGAATATAGCTTTGATACCAAATGTTGTACCCGAGACCCGGGGTCTTAACAAGTAATCAATTTGATGGCGGGTTTACGGAGGAAATGGAAGCAAGAAGGAAACATCTTTGAACTCCAAAGTTCAGAAACGCGTGATAGTCGATTATCATTAACTGATAATCGACTAACAAGACATGATTTCCAAACCACGAATGTTCAGAGATGCCCGATAGTCGATTATCACTTTTATGATAATCGATTGTTGGAAATGGCTGGGTAAATATGGAGGTGATGAAGGCGTTCTTTTTTGTATTTTGATTTATGAAGATAGAATAGAATGTTGCTTAGGAAGAGAAAATGGAGAGGAACGAAATGGACAGAGAACAAGGATGGATAAACCAAATAATAAATAAGAGATAAGCACACTCTTACTATATTTGGGGTTGTTATCTATTTCACACAATAATAATCACTACTAATGTATAAAATAGACTCCTAACACACACACTCAAAAGTAGCCAACTTTAGAGATATTTCATTAGGAAATTTGGTTAAAATAGCATCACACTATTTTAAGAGAATACTCAAAAGAGTAAACAAAGTTTTTCATTCAATACAATCTGCTGGTTTTACAATGGCTCATGGCCGAAATATATACAAGGGAAGGGAAGGGGAAATACAATCAAATGAAGATAAATACAACTAGGAAACTTCCTTCCATCTTCCTTACATTTGACATTATCACAAACATCCTAATTGAGCTGATTTTAAGGATAAAATGAATGGATTTTATTTGGATTGTTGTGGTGTGATATCTCGGCCTTATGTGGGAAATAGCAAAGGAATGTTATGTGACTGAAATTAGGACTAAAATGACTTGTTTTTATGTAGGAAATTCGGCCCTAAGGGATCAAGACATAGGAGACAAAGTTTGGCTTGACTTTAAGTGAATAATAGGACAATAAGTTACTATTCAATCAAAGACTTCTTTGCTGATTTTGTCCTTTTGTTTTGTTGTTGTTTTCTCATGATTTAGGGCTGGATTTTAGGAAGAAAATGGGTGGGAATTTCGTTGGAAAGGTGTAGGAAAATAAGGGGAAGGTCTTATTTAATGAAAGGAACAAAAGAAGTAGAAAACAACACACAAGGTTTGTCTTTTTGGTCCTCATTTTCGTCCAAGGCTAAAAAGGAGGGAAAGGACTTTATTTTTATTATCAAATGAAGATTAAAGGCTTTTGGATATTTCGGGAGAGTTTGGGGTTTTGGTGGAGCCATCCAGGGGTACATCATACTCCCCTTCTTCAAAGAAAGTTTGTTCTCAAGCTTTCGCACCACCGTGAAAAGGTCACTAGTTCATTTAGGAATTCCCGGATCAAATGGGAAGTTCAACGAACCACCAATAATGAGGTTCATTCCAGAATTAGTAGACACCTCGTTGTGTAATTTCCAGAACATGATGTCATTCCTTGTAAGAACCTGCTTCAAACATATCTCGGAGATGAAATAAGATTTTCCTTTATCGGTCATTTTGTCATTGTCTACTTTGACGAAATCATAGTATACAGCAGAAGTGAAGAGGAGCATGTCAATCACCTCACCTTGGTGATTAAGAAGTTAGATGAAGAAAAGCTGTACGGGAATCTCGAAAAGAGCCAATTCTTTGCTCAAGAGATGGAGTTCTTGGGATACTTCATCTCTAATGAGGGCATAAAAGTTGATGAAAAGAAGACACAAGCCATCAAGGAGTGGCCGATCCCCACCTCTATGCAACAAGTTCGAAGTTTTCACGGACTTGACTCTTTCTACCGGAGATTCGTAAAAGACTTCAGCACCATCATGGCGTTCCTCGAAGCATAGTATCACACATAGACACCAAATTCCTTCGTCATTTTTGGATGACTCTATGGAGAAAGTTGGGTACTAAACTCAAGTTTAGTACGTCTAGCCACCCCTAAACCGATGGACAAACCGAGGTCACCAACCGCACCCTTGGAACTCTCCTCCGAGCCCTCATAAAGAAAAATATCAAACAATGGGAGGAGCTACTACCACACGCTGAGTTTGCTTACAACCGAACCCCGAACAAGACTACCGGACTATCCCCATTCACCATTGTCTATGGTTCGAATCCCTTGACCCCACTAAAGCTTGATCCTATCATAACGGATACCAAGTATAGTTGTGAAGCGGACAATAGATCGAAGGAAATTCAGGACCTTCACAACAAAGTTCGAGAAAGAATTGAAGCCGTGATTGAGAGAATTAGCGCGCGCATCAACAAAGAAAGGAAGGAAGCCCACTTTCAACCAGGAGATCTTGTTTGGATTCATCCTAGGAAAGAGCGTTTCCCAACGAAACGCAAGTCGAAGCTGTTACCAAGAGCCGATGGACTCTTTGAGATAATGGAGAAGGTAAATGACAATGCCTACAAAATCAACCTTCTAGGAGACTATGGAGTATCGGCCACATTTAACATCAAGGACATCACCCCGTACTTTGAGCCTGAAGAATTACGAGTTTGAGGACAAACTCTTTTGAAGAAGGGGAGAATGATATACCCCGGGCGACTACCAAGGACTCTAAAGTCGTTAAGCAAATTAACGGAATAATGGCTAAATGTTATGATTCCTTTTGGACCGAACTTATCAATCCTAAAACCCGCCACATAGCCATAATTTCCCTGAGCCGAACGCCCACTTAAAACCCAGCCATTCTCATCCAAGCCAAACCCCAAAATATCCAAAATAACAAACCCAAAACTACATTTCTTTTCCTTACCCTTCCTCCCTCCATCCCTGACCAAAAACCCTAGCCCATAACCATGCCATTACCACTTCCTTACACCTCAACTTGGCAAAACAAACAACCACAAAATCCAAGACACTTTGACCCACACCCACACCCTTCAACCCCCCTTTGTTTCCCCATATCCTGCCCAGGAAATGCATCCAAATAGCCTATCATCCAACCTTTTCTCGTGCCCGAAAAAAGCCCCACCAAAGCCAATCAGTTGTGAATTATATTCACATATTCCCTCCTACCATTAATGGCCAAGAATCCTACCCTACAAGTACAATCACCCCTGTGTTTTTCCCCCACCAAAGGAACATCAACAAGTGGCCATTACTTCCTTTAGTTTGTGTGAATAAGAGACTTGGTAGTCTCCTTTTTCTATGCCTATATAAGCTCATCCCTGAGCATTCTTATCACACATTGTATTCCCATTTTCAACTTAGTAATACACTTGTTTGTGTGTGCTATTTTAAATCCCTAAATCTATATCATAAGAGTGGTTCTCTTGAGTGTGAGTTTTAGGTTCTAGTTATATAGATAAGTGTGTCATATCTTATTTAAATACTAGACTCAACCCCAAGTTAGGATAAAAGTGTGTAATATCTCTTAACCCCAACTTGATAATATCTATCCCTGATTTTCTCCCACCCTATATCCCTCCATTTCTCACTCTAAACCCCCTTCTTTTCATCCCTTAAGCCAGATAGCACCCTATCATTCCTTCCCATAACTTCCCTACCCACCCCAGCCATACTCCTTTCATATTGAAACCTCAAGTAACCCTGCTAATCGATTATCCTTCACTGATAATCGACTATCCGACACCCCTGAACTTCCTTGGCAGAATCTGAAAACCAAAATAATTGATTATCAACTATTGATAATCGATTATCCTGCCTTTCTGAATTTTCTTGGCCTAAACCACACAATCCCACAATCGATTATTGCTTAAGTGATAATTGACTTTTCCCCCTCCCTGAACTCCCAATAATCTTCCCGAGAAACTGAACCCATTGTTAGTCGATTATCATACCTTAATAATTGATTATCTCTTTCTTCTACAATTTAAGAAGCTTTGTTCTTATACTAAAAGCCTAATCCCGGAGCTCGGGTATAACATTTGGTATCAAAGCTAAGTGTTGAACATCCCCAAGGGCCATTCACTATCCCTACCAAGAAGTAAGCATTTTTGAGCTCAAAACTCCCTTCCTCTCTCCCTAAACCCCACAGCCAAACTAAACTGCCCTTCTCACCTTTTTCCCACTTCAACCATGTCAAATGAATCCCAACCCATGTCCCATGAAGAGCTTGTTGCCTCCAACGCAGCCTTGAAGGCCCAAGTTGAATACTTGGCCAAAGAAGTGGTTAAGCTCACCAAGATAAAGCTTAACGCCCTTCAAGGAAGTGATCATGAGGATGATGCTAGCACCAGTAGCACCAACAAGGCCAAAACTAATGACGGGTCTGACTTCAACGTTGATGGAACGCGTTTTCGATTTCAAAGAAGTCTCCGATGAGAAGAAGGTCAAGATAGTGGCCTTGAAGTTCCGCAAGGATGCATCTACTTGGTGGACTAATACGTGCACCAAATGGAGAAGAAACCACAAGGAGCTGGTGGCTACATGGGGCAAAATGATGTCTCTCTTAAAGAAGAAGTTCTTGCCTGCTGAATATGTTCGTGAGAATTTTGCCAAACTTCAAACGCTTGAGCAAGGTTCTAAATCGCTTGAAGAATACACCCGCGAGTTCGAGGAACTCTTGCTAAGCCATACACGATTCAATGGCTGAATCATGGCAAGGGCTTACGAGTTGATACGCAAAGCCTCATTTCTTTGAGCATTGGCAAAGCATACAAGGATGACGTATGGTGTGATATCATCCCTATGGATGCGGGTCACATACTTTTGGGACGACCTTGGTTATTTGATCGTCGCGTGCAACATGATGGTTAGGCCAACACTTATTCATTCTTGATGAATAAGAGGAAGATAACCCTAACCCCATTACCACCACCACCCTCTTCTATGGCCAAAACTACACAAGAACACCCCCCGTCCTTATATCCACCATCTTATAATCCGAGCAGCATGAATTCGATGGGATTAAAGATTTAATCCTGTTGGAAGATTGAGAAGCCAAACCCTTCACACCTCTAAAACCACCCCACCACTTGGTCAAGCACATTTTGCGAGACTATGCCCAAGTATTTCCCGAAGGTGTTCCCCATGGTCTACCCCCCAAACGGGACATACAACACAATATTGATCTCATCCCAGGGGCTGCCTTACCCAACAAGCCGGCCTATAGGATGAACCCTGAAGAAACGAAGGACATTCAACGCCAAGTTGATGAGTTGCTGGCTAAAGGGTTCGTGAGGGAAAGCCTTAGTCCGTGTGCTGTCCCGGCACTCTTGGTGCTCAAGAAGAACAGAATGTGGCGTATGTGTTGTGATAGCCAGTCTATTAACAAGATCACTATCGAGTATCGGTACCCCATCCCACGTTTGGAAGACATGTTGGATGAACTACATGGTTCCAAGATCTTTTCAAAAATTGATCTTAGGCTTAAGTTTTAGAACAAACTCCTTAAATCGCAGGGAAGGGGTATAGTCGATTATTCAAGTATGAAAATCGACTATCAGATGGTTCAGTTTCTGGGAGAAGTTAAAGGAGTTTCAGAGGCGATAGATAATCGATTGACAGGGAGGTGATAGTCGACTATTGCGTGCTGCAGATTTTCTGGGGAATCTGTTAATCGATTGTTGTAGAATGATAATCGATTACAGAAGGCTGTGGGGGATTTATGAAGGATGGATACTCGACTGTCAATAGTGATAATCGATTATTTGGCGGCTCGGGAAAGGAAAAATAGTATTTTTTTGGGGAAGGGGAACAAACCAAGTTGGTGTTAAGAGATATCACACACCCTTATCTTAACTTGGGGTTGTGATGTACCCCTGGACGGCTCCACTAAAATCCCAACCTCTCCCAAAATATCCAAAAGTCTTTTATCTTCATTTGATAATCAAAATAAAGTCTTTACCCTCCTTTTTAACCTTGGACGAAAATGAGGATCAAAAAGACAAACCTTGTATGTTATTTTCTACTCCTTTTGTTCCTTTCATTAAATAAGATGTTGTACCCAAGACCTGGGGTCTTATCGAGTAGCTATTTTGTGGCAGATTTGCGGAAGGAAATTGATGATGGAATTGAAGGGATGAAATATGGAGTGTGGGAAAGAGTTCTTTTTGGTGTTTTTAATGAGAGAAAAGAATAAGTTTAAGAAGAAGAAATGGTGAGAAATGAAATGGGCAGAAATAAAGTGAAGGGATAAACCAAGTTGGTGTTAAGAGATATGACACACTCTTATCTTAAATTGGGGCTTTTATCTTCTTTTACACATTAATAATCACTACTAATGTATAAAATTAGACTCCTAACACGCACTCAAAAGTAGCCAACTTTAGAGATATTTCATTAGGAAATTTGGTTAAAATAGCATCACACTATTTTTAAGAATTACTCAAAGAGTAAAAACAAAGGCTTTTAATTCAATAATCTAGTGTTACAATGGCCTCATGGCTGAAGTATTTATACAACAAAAAATAAGGAAAAAATACAAGAACAATGAAGGAAGAATACAACAAGGAAGTTTCCTACTTCTTTCCTACAAATCAATGCTTAATGCCCATCCATGTGAGTTGATTTTCCATGATGCTTCTTCTGATTTTGAGCTGATCTTCTTTGGGTTTATTTGGGTAGAAATTTCGTGCATATAAGGAAGAAAACAAAGGGGAATCAAGCTTTAGACTTTTGTGAATAAAATGCAAAAACAGCACTATTCATTCAATGACTTTGTTTCTGATTTTTGTTCCTTTGTTTCAAAAGTGATTATGCTTTTGTTTTGTGGAAGAAAAGGCTTTATTCTTTGTTGAAAATCAGGAAATAATTTTAGCCTTATACCCAATCTTAGGATGAGCAAACAGGAACTGATTCACTCAGGGTTCAGAGACGTAGGATAATCGATTAGCACATTTAGTAAATCGATTAATTGAGTTTAGCTCAAAGCTGGGAATGTTCTGAGGAACCCGATAATCGATTGACACTACAAGACAATCGATTTACAAGGACTTACTCGGAACTGGATATTTTCTGAGGGTGAGGATAATCGATTATCAAATTATTGACAATCAATTATGAGAAGTTATGGACTTTGAAGAAGAATCTGCGGACTTCAATAGTCGATTATCAATTAAGGATAATCGATTATTTAGGGGTTCAGAATCAGGATTAGAAGAAAAGAAGGGAAAGGCATTATTTGGGTAAAAAAGGATTTGAAAAGAAACAAAGGTTTTAAAAGATAATAAGAAACTACGGTTTGACTTGTCTTCCTTTGATTTCATTTTTGACCCGGAGTTAAAAATTGATGGGAAAGACTTTATTTTGAATTAAAGAAAAGAAAGAAGACTTTTGGATGTGTGGGGGAGGTTGGGATTTTGGTGGAGCCATCCAAGGGTACATCATAAGACCTTCCCCTTATTTTTCCTACACCTTCCCCACGAAATTCCAGCCCCTTTTTGTTCCTAAAATCCAACCAAATCACCACTTACCACAAAGGAACAAAAATCAATCAAAAGTCATAAAGTGGAATAGTGATTTCTTGTCTTTTCTTGACTATTTCCACACCACACCATTTAATGATCTTTCTTGGTTCCTTCTTGCACTATAGGCCAAAATATACTCCTCAAAATAAGCCAAGGAATGCCTCATCACAGCCACATAATGTCCTTGACTTAATCCACATATGGCCGAAATCCTTATGCAAGAAAAGGCCAAACAAATCCCCTTCCATTGTTCTTAAAGTTAGCACATTTGGATTGTAATAGTTTAGTGTTAATCATGTGGTAGGAAGCTGCCTTGAAAGTGTTGTATTTCCCCTATAAATATTTGGTCTCATGGCCATTGTAAAACCAGATTATTGAATGAAAAGTTTGTGTTACTCTTTGAGTAATTTCATTAAAATAGTGTGAAGCTATTTTAACCAAATTTCCTAATGAAATATCTCTAAAGTTGGCTACTTTTGAGTGCGTGTTAGGAGTCTATTTTATACATTAGTAGTGATTATTATTGTGTGAAATAGATAACAGCGCCAAATATAGTAAGAGTGTGTTTATCTCTTATTCATTGTTTGGTTTATCCATCCTTGTTTTCTACCCATTTCGTTCTTCTCCATTTTCTCTTCCTAAACCACATTCTATTCTATCTTCACAAATCAAAATACCAAAAAAGAACTCCTTCATCACCTCCACTTTCCACCCAGCCATTTCTGTTGCATCCCTAGCAAGTCAACTAATTCTCAAGAACTTAAAAACAAATAAGTGGATTAATGTCCAAATGTCACAATCCTTTTTGGAATGAATTTCTCACCCCAAAGCCATATAACCAAACCTTGATATATTTAGGCCCATGAAATCCAAAACCCAACCCCTTAAAACCCATCACAACATTTCCAAAACCTTACCTCAAAACCCTAACCCTTTCCCCTTTCTTTCCCTTGTTTGGCCGAACCCCCCCCTACACCCACCATGGACCCCGCACATTCTCAACATTCATAGATATCCAAAATATCTTCCTCTCATTATTTAATCCTTTCATAGATATCCAAAATATCTTCATTCTCAACATTCATAGATATCCAAAATATCTTCCTCTCATTATTTAATCATTTCCCTCTTTTCCTTGAAGCCTGGCCGAACACAAGAACCCAAAAACCAACCATTTTCTATGCTTGTAGACAAACCAACATTTGGGACCACATGTCCCCAAGCTAGGCCGAATTTACATCAATAATAGGCCAAGGGACATATGTTATGGTTTGAGAGCTTACCCACCATATATTTTGCTTCATTAAAGGCCAAACTAACATGAAATTCTCACACCCTTTGCTCTCTTCCCTCAATGGCCGAATACACCCCCCACAACCACCATATATTTCCCCTACACAGTCAACCAAATCATTCTCACATCAAACCTTTCCTTTGCCCCATAATATGGACGAACCCATCTCATCCAAATCCCTTTTATTTCATTCATCCTAATCATAATATTCTCACATTCCCTTTTGTCTTCCAATAAGGCTGAAAACATCAAGCCCTAAAACCTATCACATTTGATCTTCATTCCATGAGGTGATTTGATTATTTGGATAATATTCTAGATATTTGTTTAAGGAAGTTGCTTAGTTTCTTTCCCTCTTTTGAGCTTGTATTAATATCGGCCAAGGGCCTCATTTGTAACCCATCTTTGTAATCTCATTTTCAAGATAATACAACTTGTTGTGTTGTTTTAAAATTCCTAATTTATATATCTTAAGGTTGATTTCCTTAAGTGTGAGTGTTAGGTTCTAGAATTTCATTAAGTGTGTTATATCTTAATTGAAATCTAGATTTTAACCCCAAGAAAGGATAACAGTGTGTTATATCTCTTAAAACCAACTTGGTCTATCTCCCTCTACCAAAACACCTCTTTTTCGTTCCCTGAAACTGTCCTATAATCGATTAGCAACTTGGTAAAATTGATTATCATCTCACGTGAAACATCCGCAGCCATCAATAATCGATTTACATACCCTTGTAAATCGACTATTTCCCCTTTATGAAAATCTCTGTCAAAATCCCTCAAGAAGCTGAGCCCTTCAATAATCGATTATCTCTTCTAGATAATCGACTATCACCCCTCCTGCAATTTTAAAACTACTTTGTCCCTCAAAACACTCAAAGCTAAGATACAACATTTGGTATCAAAGCCCATTGTTCTCATCCTTAAGGACCAAAAACACACTTCCCTCCCTCTTCCTTGTTTTCCTTCCATTCGGCCATAACCTACTGCCCATTATATTCTTCCTTATCACCATGTCAAACCAATCTCAAACCCTCACCAATGAAGAACTTCAAGCCTCCAATGCTGCCCTAAAAGCTCAAGTTGAATACTTAGCCAAGCAGGTAGCTCAACTCACCAAGATGAAGTTAAGAATGGCGGATACCCCCGAGCAGAGTGATGAAGAACAAGAGATTGAAACACATCCTATGGAAGACTCTAACACCAACACCGGAGGTAGCTCTCATGAGAAAGGAACCACGGATTTCAAGGTTGACCTTCCCACCTTTGAAGGGAAGAATGATCCCGACGAATTCCTAGAGTGGTTGGAAACTGTTGAGCGCGTCTTTGACTTTAAAGACATTCCCGAAGACAAGAAGGTCAAAATAGTGGCGTTGAAGCTACGAAAGTACGCTTCTACATGGTGGACGAACACATGCACTAAGAGAAGACGAGAAGGCAAGGTTCCCGTCAAATCATGGCTCAAGATGAGGGCTTTGATGAAGAAGAAGTTTCTCCCCGAACAATATGTAAAGGATAACTTCGCTCACCTTCAACAACTGAGACAAGGCACCCGGACGGTGGAAGATTACACTCGAGAGTTTGAAGAGCTCTTGATGCGGTGCGACTTACAAGAAGATGATTCCCAAACCCTTGTCCGCTATTTATTTGGGCTAAACACCCAAATAGCTAATGTAGTGGAGCTCCAACCATATGACACCTTCGAAGAACTGTCCAAGCTCGCCCTACGGGGTGAAGCACAACTCAAGAGAACTAGAACCCCCTTTGGCCGCCCCTCACCCTACACCAAAACTCCTCCAAATTCCTCATGAAACCCAACCACCACCTCTGCCCAAACACCATCCGCAAAACCCAACTCCATCCCTTCCACCTCTACCAACCTGCCACCTCCCAAGGCCAACCCAACCAACACCCGAGCTCCGAAATGTTTTCGTTGTCAAGGCATAGGTCATTATGCCAACAAATGTCCGAATAAGAAGATTATGGCAATCGTGGAATATGAAGATGAAGAAGATAGCCCCACATGGAGTGATGAAGTAGCCGAAGATGAAGAATGTATAGGTGCGGATCAAGGAGAGCTACTGGTCATCCGTAGGACACTAAGCACTTTAGCCGTCCCCGATGAACAGTTACAACGAGAGAATATCTTTCATACTCGTTGTACGGTACAAAAGAAGGTGTGCTCGCTTATCGTGGACAGTGGGAGTTGTACCAACGTGGCCTCGAAAACGTTGGTTGAGAAGCTAAGGTTGAAGACATCACCCCACCCGAAGCCATATACCATCCAATGGCTAAACCATGGCAAGGGGTTACGAGTAGATTCCCGAACTCTAGTCTCCTTGAGTATTGGGAAAAGCTATACCGATGAAGTATGGTGCAACATCATTCCGATGGACGTGTTCCATATATTATTGGGAAGGCCATGGCTATTCGATTGAAGAGTCATGCATGATGGATATGCAAACACCTACTCTTTCATCATCAACAAGAAGAAAGTCACCCTTAACCCTCTTCCCCCCTCAAAACCCACGGCCTCAACTCCACCAAAAGAAGAACCACCCATCCTCCTTTCCACCATCTTACAGGCTGAACACCATGAACTTAGTACCCAAAAAGAACTCATCCTCTTTGAAGAAGAGGAGGCCGAACCTACCCTCCACCGAACCCATTCACGCTCTTGCCCAACCTATTCTTGATCATTTCACCCATGTCTTTCCCGAGGACATCCCTCACGGCCTTCCCCCCAAACGAGATCCAACACAAGATCGATCTTATTCCAGGGGCTGCCCTACCTAACAAACCTGCCTATCGCATGAATCCGGAAGAAACAAAAGAGGTGCAAAGGCAAGTGGATGAACTACTTGCTAAGGGGTTTGTTCGAGAGAGTCTAAGTCCATGTGCTGTTCCGGCGCTCTTGGTACCTAAGAAAAATGGTACATGGCGCATGTGTTGCGATAGCCGATCCATCAATAAGATTACAATCAAGTATAGGTATCCCATACCTAGGCTTGAAGACATGTTGGATGAGCTCCATGGTTCCAAGATCTTTTCGAAGATAAATCTTCGAAGCGGATATAATCAAATCTGAATCTTCGAAGGAGATGAATGGAAGACAGCTTTCAAAACGAAATTCGGACTATATATGAATGGCTAGTTATGCCATTCGGCCTTACAAATGCACCAAGTACCTTCATGAGATTGATGAATCAAGTCCTGAAACCCTTTCTTGGTCATTTTGTCGTTGTCTACTTTGACGACATCGTAAGAGTGAAGAAGAGCATGTGAATCACCTTACCTTGGTGATTAAGAGGTTGGATGAAGAAAAGTTGTATGGAAACTTGGAGAAAAGTCAGTTTTTCCGTAAAGAAAAAGAGTTTCTGGGATACTATGTTTCAGGAGAAGGAATTCGAGTGGATGAGAGGAAAACTCAGGCCATTCGGGATTGGCCCATTCCCACATCCATGCAACAAGTTCGAAGTTTTCATGGGCTAGCATCATTCTACCGCCGATTTGTAAAGGATTTCAGTACCATAACCGCACCTATCACCGACTTGACGAAGCACCAAAAGTTCGAGTGGAATTCGAAGGCCGAACAAGCTTTTGAAACTATCAAGGAACGACTAACACAAGCTCCCGTGTAAGCCCTCCCTAGTTTCGAGAAGCTGTTCGAAGTCGAGTGTGATGCCTCGGGCGTAGGCATTGGAGCGGTTCTCACCCAAGGAGGCCACCCGATCTCATACTTTAGTGAGAAGCTGAATGAGACGAGGAGAAGATATTGTTATTCGATTTAGTCGTTGTGCCCACGCCTTAGAGGGGGGTGAATAAGGCGTTTAAAAACTTTTCGGAGTTTAATAAAAATGGTGTTGGCAAATGCGGAAGCAATATATAAAACGCAGAAATAAAAGTGTTAAGTAAAAGACACACCGAGTTTATACTGGTTCAGAACTCCCTACTCCAGTACCTCGAGGCTCCTCCTCAAGGATTTCCGAATCCACTAAGTTCCGGCCTCTTGAACTCCATCAAAGCACCGCACTAGTTTGGCAAACAACCCTTGCCAATAGGATTCACTCCAAGATTTTACCACGGCTATCTTGAACCGTTTACAATGAAGATTTAAAGGCTATCTTCTACCGTTCCCCCAAGGATTTCAAAGGCTATCCTTGAACCTCTACCCAAGGATTTATACGGCAATCCTTAACCGTTACAACGTGAGAATTTAACGGCTATTCTCGAGCGTAAGAAGGTGTGTTTGAAGAACACAAACAAAGGTTCTACACAATGGCTAGAATATAAAAATGAAGAACAAAACTTAGCCGGTGTAGAAGGAAAGTATACTCTCTCAAAAATACAATTCAAACTTATGAATATGAGAGTATATAACTAGAAACACAAGCTCAAAGTGTGTGTATAAAAATTAGGAATGTAAGGCTCTTAAAATAGCCAAAATATTGAAAATAATTAATAAAAGGATGAACACACTTAGAATAAAAAGAGAGGATGTTTAGAGCTTTGTTTCTTGTTGAAATATGAAGTATTAGGCCTATATTTATAGTGGAAGATGTTAATTAGCCGTTAGGAGGTGATTAGAGTTGAATTAATTTAAAAATTAGCAATCAGGAATAGTGTTCCAACGGTAACGGTACCATGTCACGGTAGCTAGGTCCCGTACGGTAGCTAGGTACCTTCTCAGGCCAAAACTCTCTGGCGGTACCTATACATGGTAGGGGGGTCCCGTCCATACGGTAGGGGGGTCCCGTCTCAACTTAACTCATGGTACCCCTTACGGTACCCCTCACGGTACCTAGGTACCTTATGACCATTTTGACAATTTTTCATTTTTGTCCAAATCATTTCCAATTTTGTTTAAAACCTTTTGGATGTTTGAAAATGATTATAAAAAGGTTTTAAACATATTTTTTGAGTGTTTTTGAGCTTGTGAATATAGGTATATAAAATCATATCCTTACATCGATTTCTACCTAAATTCTACGCTAGTTTAGTGTTTCAACTTCATTCTTGAGAACCGAATCTTAATGGATTCTTGTTGTACCTGAAACACTTAAACAAACATCAAGCTCTTATATTGTTTGTTAACATCAAAACATGAGGCTTAGCAAACCAAGGCTAACAGATATTCTATTTATGACAAGGAGTTTTACGCCTTGGTGAGATCCTTGGAGCACTAGAGGCACTATCTCGTGAGCAAGGAGTTGATTCTTCACTCCGATCATGAGGCACTGAAGTACATACAAGGGTAACATAAGCTTCGACCCCGCCATGCCAAATGGGTTGAATATCTTCAAACTTTCACCTTTACCATCAAACACAAGAATGGGACCCTCAACAAAGGCGCCGATGCGTTATCGCGAAGGCATTTATTATTAACGGTACTTAGTACCAAACTTCTTGGTTTTGATTGTTTGCAGGAGCTCTATAAGGATGACGGAATTTTCAAGGAGGCGTATGCACAATGCCTAGTTCGGCCTTATGGGGATTACCTCCTCAAAGACGGTAATCTCTTCCACGGCAACCAATTGTGCATCCCCCGAAGTAGCGTTCGAGAAACCCTCATTGATGAAATACATGGAGGCGGATTGGCAGGTTGTTTCGGTATCAACAAAACATACTTCATGATAAGGGAGCATTACTTCTGGCCCAAAATGGAAAGAGACGTTGAACACTTTGTCAAAAGGTGTTCCACTTGCCACCTCACCAAAGCACATATCTTGCCGCAAGGAGTACATATGCCATTGCCCGTACCGAATGCCCCATGGGAAGACATTAGCCTGGACTTCATTACCGGGCTACCTAGGACACAAAAGAACAAAGATTCCATCATGGTGGTCGTGGATCGTTTCTCCAAAATGGCCCATTTTGTTCCTTGCCTCACCACGTACGATGCATCACAAGTCGCGGATCTCTACTTTCGCGAAATAGTCAAACTACACGGGATCCCTAGAAGCATGGTCTCCGATAGATATTTGAAATATTGTACTTTCGCATTACTCTGAAAATATTTTTAAATGGGTCGCGATCCAGAGTCTGTAAATTTAACATTTATAAGTAATTGTCATTTTTAAATGTCAAGCGAAATTTTTATTTAACTCTGGTTTCACCTTAGTACGTATAATTCCGGGTTATACGGATTAGGGTGTTACACTATGTATTTTAAAATGAATGTTTATATTTGTACGAGAATGAGTACTACTTTATTTTAGAATGAGTACTAGCGAGATATACCTATTTCTAGGTACATCTGGATGTACCATAAACCAACTCCTAGAAAGGAGAACAATAAGGGGACGTAGGAAAGGGGAAGAATGGAAAAAAAGTAAATGGATAATAAAAAATCAAACAAAATCTTATTAAAAGCTATGGTAAAATCTTTCAAATTCTACGTAAACCTAAAATAATCTTTTGATTTTATATAATATATAGATTCTAACAAATCTATCAAAATCTTTTAAAATCTAAATTGAATACATCCTCCCCCTTAATTGAACATAGTTCAACAAATTCAGAGCCATCTCTGTGGATAAGTTCTACCATATACCATTCTCCTCAACACCCCGTTCTCGAACCAGGTCTACAATCTCAAGTATTGGTTGTAAGTTGCAGCAAAAGGCAAAAGCAGGGCCGGCCCATTTGGGGGACGGGCAGCCCGACCGGACCGGACCCATGAACTATTGGGGCCCATAATTTTAAACATTAAATATATTTATGTAAGCCCAAAAGCTTTGAGGCCCTAACTAGTACTCCAAGTCAAGACTCCAGCATTCCACGACAGGCTTTGTCTCGCATCTAGTGGTCCAATTCCAGAATTTCAAGCGTACAACTTCCAGGATGTACCCGTAGTTCAGATTATGACTGAGGTTTTGGCACTTGTTTCTGTTGGACATGAGTTCAAGCCCCTTTATTATTCTGGAATATTTTTGTTTTGATGTATGACAAACAGGATGATTAAATTCAAACGATAATCGAATATTTATTTTTCGTATCGAGAAAAGCAAAGAGGCGTATCAAGAAAGTTACAACGATAAAAATCAACGCTCACCCCTACGTAGATTTTTGAAGCGAAGTGAAGACTCCGAAGACTTTTTATTTTTTATTGAGTCTAGGCATATTTGTAAGGATGACAATAATTTTTGCATAAATAAATTAATTTTTTGAGGGATAAAAATTATTATTTTCTGAGTCAGTTGAAAAAAATTATTTTTTCTCTGTCTAAAAATATTTAACTGAGTCAGTTTCAAAATAGTGTGTCAAAATTTCTTAAAATATTTTTAAGGATACACAAATCTTTTGTGGTAAGAAAAATATACTTTAAAGATTTTTCTTGTACATCGTTTGACACACAAAATATTTTTGGGACTCAATTTCTACACAAAAATTCATTAATTAATTCAAATTTTTGAATTTGAATTAATTCTTTTCAACTCATTTGATTTGTTATCATGTTCAAATTGTTGTCTAAAACAAAACATTAAGCTCCAATTGTACTCCCCACTCGCACACATGCTTTGGGTCCTCCTTGTTTGGCCATTGTTCGTTAGGGGATCGATCATCCTTCCTGGATCGATCACCTGTGCAGAGTGATCCGAGCCTGGATCGATCCAAGTGAATGGATCGATCATATACTTTTTCCAAATTGTTCGTAGGATTGATCCTTGAGTGTGGATCGATCCCCCGTAGCCTTGCAAAAATTCGTCTCCTGAATTTTGGTTCCAGAGGATCGATCCCTTGGCTTGGATCGATCCCCCGTGGCTTTGACAAAAAATCTTTTTCGATCCATTACTCCAGGTGATCGATCTTCACCCTTAATTGGATCGATCCCCAACGTCTTTTATCTGTCAAAATCAGCCTTCCCTACTTCCAACGGATTTATTTCTTTTTCCTCTATAAAAACACTCATCCTCCTTCATTAAAAACACATCTCTTGCACTCTAATATCTTCATTGATAAATATTCAATTCTTGCTTCCATCTTCCTCATCAAATATATTATTTTAAGAATTAGAAATATTTTTATTGAGTGCTAAAGATTTTGTCATCCATAGAGCTTTCATATTTCAACACTTCTTGCTCAAATTGTGTGAGCTTTCATTCTTGTATTGTAAACTCAATCCTATTTGAGTGTTGCTAAGACTTGTGTGATTCAAGTCCTATTGTTGTTAAGGCTTGTGTGACTCAAGTCTTGTTAGAAGTTGAGGCTTGTGTGATTCAAGTTCTCGAGTTGTATTGGTTTTTCAAGCACTCGTTGAAGCTTGAAGTTTAGTAGAACCTTTGAGAGAGTCTCTCGGAGGACTGGACTAACCACGAGGTGGTGAACCAGTATAAATCACGGTGTACTCCTTCCCCTTGCTCTTTACATTTTTCCTGCGATTTTGTTTAATTGTCACAGACGCGATTTACGCACATTCTAGCGAACAACTCTATTCACCCCCCTCCCCCCTCTAGAGTTGCACTTTTGTCTAACAATTGGTATCGGAACAGGAAGTTCTTCGAATACTTCTTTATTTTCAGGAACTCAAAGATCAATGGCATCTAGAATGTTCAACGTAGGAGTTAGCGAGGGACAATCAACCACAAGGCCACCATTGTTCGACGGAACCAACTACTCCTATTGGAAGGAGAGGATGAGGATTTTCATCCAATCCAATGACTACAAACTGTGGTTGATAGTCAAGAACGGGTGTGGAGTCCCGATGAAGAAAGTCGGTGAGGTCAACGTCCCCAAAACCGAAAAGGAGTTCACCGACGAAGATTGCAAAAAAGATGGAGCTCAACGCAAAGGCAATAAACATGATTTATTGCGGTGTTAATGCGGATGACTACCGCAAAATCTCGCGGTGTGAAACCGCAAAACAAATGTGGGAAAAATTGAAGGTCACCTACGAAGGAACCGCGCAGGTTCGGGAGGCCAAAATCGACCACCTCACCCACGAGTATGAACTCTTCTCAATGAAGGAAAACGAGAATATTGAGGAAATGTTTGAGAGATTCTCTAACATCATTAATCCTCTCAATCTTCTCAGGAAGACATACACAGACCGAGAACTCGTGAGAAAGGTGCTGCGAAGCCTATCCCCCAAATGGCGTTCAAAGCTGGACGCAATTGAAGAAGGTCGTGACTTCCAAACAACGACCTATGATGCTCTTCGAGGTAATCTTATTACCTACGAAACCACCCAACTCTCTAAGGTGGTTGAAGAGAGGAGCAAGAGGTCTATTACTCTACCCGCAACAACATCAACCCACAACAACGTTGATGATGAAGATGATGACAGCGACGACACCGACCTCGGACTCTTCGTCTGAAAATTCAAGGAAATGATGCTCAAGAAGGGAGCCAAGAAGAACACTCCACCCAAGTGCTATGGGTGTGGTGAAATTGGACACATCAAACCAATGTGTCCTAAGCTCAAGAACGAGAAGGACAAGAGGGCACCGAAGAAGCAACGTGCCTACATTTCTTGGGAGAACGACGGCTCCGGGAGTGAAGACTCGGAAACGGAGGAAGTGGCCAACTTATGTCTCATGGCCATTGAAGATGGGGAAACATCAAAAGAGGTAAGTGATCAAGAGCCTTCTCCCAATGATCCTTTAACTCTTAATGATTTAGTTTGCATTGTAGAGGAACTAGTAGGAATGTTCAAAAAGGCTTCCAAAGAAAATAATGAAGTAAAGCAAAAAATCCTGATTTTTGAGAATGATGTCAAAGAACTCAAAAATATAAATGATAAACTTAAACAAGAAATTATCTCTTTTGGAAAAAGGCCACAAGAACCTTCATCTACTTCATCTACTACATGCTCTAGTTGTACATCATTAAAAGCTAAAGTTGCTAGTTTAGAAAGCAAATTGGGAAAGTGACGAACGGCGTAAAGCGGCAAGTCAACAAGTATCCGAGTTAGACTCGGGTCGTTCTCTCCAGGAGTGGCGAAGGGAATAGTTAGCCTTATTATTTATCACAGGTAAATTTATAGTCTAAGAGATGTGAATAAATAAGAAATAAGTGACTAAAATAAATGATAAAATAACTTCATGAGTTAAGATCGGAACACTGACTTAACACAATTTAAATCATCTTTAATTAACAATTGGATTAATGAAATGTGTAGCAATTATGTTTAATATATCTCCTATTTCTAGGTCTCAATATAAACATAAATGCTAATCTTATATTTAATACATCTCCTATTTCTAGGTCTCAGTATTAATTATAAGATTATTTTATTTCTAGTACATCTTCTATTTCTAGGTCTTAGTACTGTGCTAGAAAATGTTCGACTTAAATAATTCTAAATCCTCATAGACAAGGCAAGAACCATTTTCCAATTACTTAATTAATAAAATGTTTAGTATTATTAATTAGTTAAAGCCATTCCAAACGGTTATTTCTAACCTTGCCCATTTCTAGGTGTTTGGAATGTGTGGCTTAATTAACCTTTTTACCTCATAGACAAAGTAAAAGATTAATTTCCAAGGATTAATTAATAATAAAAACAATTTTATTAATTAAAAAAAATTAATTCATTTTCTAACAATTAATCCAATTACTAACTAAAGGATAAAATTAAATTGGTTAAATCCTTATTCCGAATCCTAACCCATATAATTATCAATTCATAATCTCAAACAAAACATTCAACATCATCATAATAACATATAAAATCCTCAAACACATATCAATCATCAACAAAGTAAAATTTTATGGATAAAATGTTCAATAAAGATTACAATAAAAAGAAAAGTAAAACTTACAATGCTTCAAAGATTTGAGAATTAACTTGGAATGATGAAATTTAACCAACTCAAATTTAGTACAATAATTGAAATAAAAAATTGAAGATTTTTGCCCCAAAAAAGGGGAAAAACCGAAGGGAAATCGCCTGGTGAGAGGAAAGAAGCCGCAGGGGTTTTATAGGATGGAGAAGACAACTAGGCGGGCAGACCGGCGGTCGCCGACCAACCCGCCGGCACCACTGAAGATTTTTCCAGAATCTGCCGGATTCCGGGTCGCCGTCGATAGGCGGGCAGACAGGCGGTCGCCTGCCAGCCCGCCAGCGCTCCTCCTCCCTGGATCTCTCGCCGCTGCTGCCTTCTGATAATCGCCGCAGCTTTCCGTCCGGCGGCCAGACCAGCGGTCGCCAGCCAAGTCGCCTGTCAGGCCACAAAAATCTGTCGATGCTACTTTGCTCTAAATTTCGTTTTGAACACTTTTTCCTTCTGCATCGACTTCTAATTCTGCACAGTTTGTGAGATAGAATTGTTTTTCTATTAAAATTTACTCTTTTTATTCCATTATTGACCCAATTTTACATATTAATTCAAAGTCCTTCTTTTTATGATCAATTCATCAAAACATATATTTTTGACCAAAAAGAATAAAGAATTTTTTGTTTTGATAACAAAAATGGTACAAGAACGAATTAAATATGAGTAAAAAGATAAGTACGAAACGGTCTTATCAGAAAGTTTAATAATGCCTCAAACACCTTAGATAAAATACTTAGGCAAAAACATAGTAATGGTGAAGGACTTGGATATAAGAAAAATCCACCTAGAAAAACAACATTTGTTAAAGCTAGGGGAAATAAAAATGCTAGGACTAATAATCAAACTAGAAGAGCACCTCCTAGCAAACCTAGAACTCATTACACTCAACCATATAGGATGAATAATCCAAATGTTATTTGCCATTACTGTAATAAGATAGGTCACATTGCACCCGTGTGCTTCACCAAACTTAGGCATTTCCAACAAACGCACACACATCGCACATATGCTAACCAAAAAGGACCAGACAATACATGGGTACCTAAACCGTCTCCATGATATCTTTTTGTAGGTGTGCTTGAAGGCTTCGAGTACCTCTTGGTATCTCGATAGCGGATGCTCCAAGCACATGACCGGAGACGCATCCAAATTTAGGAGTTTAGAGTATTTCAAAGGTGGCAATGTCGTTTTTGGCAACAACAACAAAAGAAGGATCATTGGAACTGGCACCGTCTAGAGAGACAATGCTACAACCGTTGAGAACGTTCTTCTTGTTGAGTGCCTCAAGCACAATCTTCTTAGCATTAGTCAATTGTGCGATAGAGGTAACCGTGTCATCTTTGATTCTAGTAAATGCATTGTAGAACGCTTGTGTGACAATAGGACTATTCTTTGTGGTAGTAGAGTAGATAACATTTACATGTTTGATCTTGAAAATTTCCCGTCTATCTTAGCTAAGTGCCTCATTACCAAAGAGGAAGAAACGTGGCTATGGCATCGACGGATAGCTCACGTTAATATGGACCATCTTAATAAGTTGGTTTCTAAAGACTTAGTAATTGGTGTTCTTAAACTTAAGTTTGAGAAGAATCTAATTTGTGATGCATGTCAAAAGGGGAAGCAAGTAAGGGCCTCGTTTAAGTCAAAGAACGTTGTTTCTACGACTAGGCCATTACAAATTTTGCACATGGACCTTTTTGGACCTTCAAGAACTATGAGTTTAGGAGGTAATTACTTTGGCTTTGTTATCGTTGATGACTATTCGAGGTTTACATGGACACTCTTTCTAGCTCATAAGTATGATGCACTTAATGCTTTTAAGAAATTCATTAAATTGGTTCAAAATGAAAAAGATCGACTCTCACATTTACATCCATTAAAAGTGATCATAGGGGAGAATTTGATCAAGACGGCTTTGATGTCGTTTGTAACGAATTAGGCATTGAGGATAATTTCTCAGCCCCTCGTACACCACAACAAAATGGCGTGGTTGAACGGAAAAATAGGTTTCTTGAAGAGATGGCTAGAACTATGCTCAATGAGGCAAACCTTCCTAAATATTTTTGGGCGGATGCCGTGAGTACCGCGTGCTACGTGTTAAACCGAGCCGTCATTAGACCGATACTCAAGAAAACGCCCTATGAACTTTACAAAGGAAGAAAGCCTAACCTTTCCTATTTTCATGTCTTTGGATGTAAAGTTTTTATTCATAATAATGGAAAAGATAACTTGGGAAAATTTGAT